GTGCTCGGAAGAATGAAGAATGAAAGGAAGCAAGCCAGAAATCCCAAGAAATAGAGCCTGGAGTCATACATCGGACCGACCTCATACTCCCGAGAGTTAGGGTCAGCATCTCTGGCCAAGGGCTGAAGATCTTTGAAGAAGTGGCGGATCCATGCAGTATAGGAGGCACGGTCCGTCCTTACTCGACTAGTCCTCTTCGCTGAACCATCAAAAATGGAACTCCACCGACCACAAGTTTGAAGATTTAGCTTCAGAGATTGCAACTGAAGGACTCCTAGCATCAACAAAGTCACTTGGCCGTATAGAGAGCACCTGATCGATCTCAATGTCTGATGAAGCCTGAACAGTAGCAGTCATCCCTGAAGAAGGAAGGAGGGCCGGAGGATGAGAATCACCATAAGTGCCAGAGCGAGTCTCAGAGATTTCTAGCACATCCACCTCCACACCATTCCCAGAGGCGCACCTCGTCTCTACATTGCTTCTAGAAGCATGGCCTACGGCATCAATTTCTGTGGCATCAGTCCCTCCAGCAATCTCAACATCAGAACGGTGAGCCCCAACAAACTCGTCACCAAGGTAGTGCTCCTCCTCAGCTACGGTAGGGCGGTGACGACGCGTGCGTGGAATAAGGTCACAAAAATGATCGGAGGACTCAGCCTCATCATCATCGTCATCTATAACTGCTATACGAGGGGTGCGCATCTTCACAAGTCTTGCAGATAAAGGGAGGGTGTCGTCCAAGTCTGAGTCCGGCCTAGGAGAGGCAGCATGGCCAGGAGCCACGGTACTGAGAACGTCAACAACCGCAGGGTCCTACACAACATGGGCAAATAAAAGTGTTCATTTTAGAAGGTCCAGTCGCAAGGAGGAAAGTAACTTCAAATCAAAAATTTCGAGTACCTCATGAAGCCTTTTGGAAAGGCGAGGAGCTGAAGGACTGGCATCAGAAGCCCTCTTGTGAGCCATCTTCTTGAGGCGGGTCGTCCGAGGACCAGAGGCCTTATTCAAAGGGACTGGCTTTGGAGAAGTAATTGCCAAGCTAGAAGCAGACGTCCGAGCTGAAGGGTCAGTTGGAGCAGATGAAGTGAAGAAACCTTCGTACATGTGATCAGATTTCCAGCTCTCGGGCAGCCGAAGAGAAGAGTCCTTCTTATAAATCGGCGGAGGCAAACATACGGTCGGTCTGCTCTGGACAAATGCAATAAACGCATCGATATTCTTCTGCCAATATCGCCTGAAAGAGGGGGTGAAACCCCTTACTCGGCTCAAGCCTGGCATCGTCAAAGAGCCGGATATAGGAAGCACGCTGTGTACAAGTCCGCGGCTGAAGCGCCCGTAGCTCTCTGAAAATGATAACAAAGGAGGTGCTGACCCCGGGGCACATTGGTCAAACCCGAACTGACATGCTACACGGTCAGGCCTATAAACGGCACTATCAGCGCCTTCCTCATGCCATACCGGTAATGAACTCGGACGGATCATAATCAACATATCAACAAAGGGTGCAGGGATGTTCTTTGGCAAAGGAAAGGACACCGAGCGGGAGGAACCATGATAGATAAGCGGTGTGGCCACACCCACAGGTGGGCATATATACGGCCGTGCCACAAAGCGTCGGGGATCATCCACCAGAGTATTCAAGGATAAGGTGGAAATGGTACGTGACCAACGTGTAATCAACGGCTGGCAAGACTTCGCTTTCTCAAATGTCCGAGACCCATCAGTATCGAGCACGGGGATGCCTTCTTTATCCACTATCTCCCAAAGAACCTCCGCCTCGAATACAGTCGGAGTAGGGGCAAATTTTGGGAACCTCTCGAAGAAGAAACAAAGTAGGAACTGGCTGTGAATGAAAAAGACAGGCTCATATCGACCCATGGAGCGAACCATATCTCGATGTAGTAGATCCAGCCGATAGTAGAGATTTCCAAGAAATAGTGGAGCCAAAGGGATCCGATCTCCTCTGAAGAGCCTGACTGCCAAGGGGAAGACGAAAGGATTGAGGGAATCCGGAGGTGTGCTCGGAAGAATGAAGAATGAAAGGAAGCAAGCCAGAAATCCCAAGAAATAGAGCCTGGAGCCATACATCGGACCGGCCTCATACTCCCGAGAGTCAGGGTCAGCGTCTTTGGCCAAGGGCTGAAGATCCTTGAAGAAGTGTCGGATCCATGCATTATAGGAGGCACGGTCCGTCCTTACTCGACTAGTCCTCCTCGCTGAACCATCAAAAATGGAACTCCACCGACCACAAGTTTAAAGATTTAGCTTCAGAGATTGGATCAAAGAATTATCTTCGGGGGGTGTCTGTTCAGGGTCGAAGGCATCAGGGCCGGTCACTTCCAGACGCAGCAACATGAACACATTCTCAAGGGTGGGCCCCATCTCGTGCTGGCCATGTATAAAGGTGTGTGTCTCGGTGCTCCACCGAAGAGCCATGGCTTCCAGGCTAGCATTGTTGCGACGGATGGATAGGGATCGAGATATTTTCACTGGGATCAATAGTCGGGCCTCTTGAAGCTGCTGACAGAAGCTCTTGTCTGAGAGGACATCATCGACCCACTCCTGCCAACCAAAAGGAGGGTTTGAGAAGGCCTTGAACTGAGGATAACTGAGAAGGCCTTGAACTGAGGATAACAGTATGGAAAGTCCCCCCGCTCAATCCGAAAGCGTAGCACCGAGGAAAGAGAAATGAGGGCCTCATGTCCAGAATCAGTGTCCTCAATGAGATATAATGGAGCCCCCTTCGGAGATAAAAAAGAAGTGGTGGAGGTAGTCGCCCGCCAGAAGGGGTCCTTCTGACCAAAATAAGGAGATTTCCTCCACTCAGATGCCGGAGGTACATCCCTCTCTTTCATGAGAACCGGTTCCGATGACCCCGGGACAACGGGTTTCTTTCAAGAAGACATATGGCTGAAATAACCGGTATAAATAGCAAGGAGTTGACCATATTAAAATTCAGAATATTGGAATTAAAGCAACACATTCGAATGAAATTTCGGCATCAACTATCCATTTCTCAGAGAGTCTATGAATTCAACTAATTCTACGAGGAATTTTTTACACCAAGAGTCCAAGCACGATGTCTACTATTCTAAGGGTCGCAACAATCAGTCATTTTTTATAATTAGATTTACATGATGGGTTTATCAACAGGTTCAACCCCGGAAGTCATCAACAATTCTTTTTCTCGGGTATTCTTCAAGCTCAACAAATTACAGTACCAATATGTATATCAACAACATACAGATTTTCGTTTCTATCATCGATAAGAGGTGCAATATCATAGGTCGTTTTGTGATGAAGTTCAATTGGATCAATTTCTCAAAGTCACTATGTTCCATATTAGAGGTCCAATTTATACGAGGCTCAAAATTTGGACAGAGTGAAGTTCAATAGCAAATTTCAGGCCCAAGATCCGAAGTATTTTACATTTCTCATCAGTAGCAAGATTCAATGGATTGTCATGTGAATTACAAGAGTGTTCCTCCCAAGTCAATATTATTTGTTCAGTTCAAGTGGCAAATATTCTATTACGAGGGCAAAATTCAGCAGCAATGGGTCAAGTTATGCAATAGTCCAGAATTTCTTTAGCAAATTTTAAGTTAGAAAAATCGTTTAAATAAATCCCACAACTTATTACAAAGCCCAAACAAATTCAAGATTCACATTGGGATTTCAAATCACCGATATTATTTTTTTGCGTGGTCGACGGCGGATAAGCTGAAGCCGGAAGCAGCGATTGATTATGCACAAGCCAAGGCTAATGTGGGTAATCCGAGCTCTAAACAAAAGAAAAATATATATGATAATCAATATATATATATATATATATTTGCCCAAAGTTTGTCAAGCAGCAAAGTAAAAGAAAAAAAAAAAAACGAAGCACCAGCAGATTCGAAGCAAAAAATAAAATAAAATAAAATAACATATATATATAATAAAATAAAATATTATATATATATACATCATAAGCCATATATATATATATTCGAAATGCTAGCCAAAAGCAGAGATGAGAAAGAAAACCAGTGGCCACGGGAATCAATTGCGAGTTGTGCCGGTGTTGGTGTGCAGCAACGACAGCTCGGGTCGCGTTGCCGGTGGTGCCTAGAGCTACGGTGCAAACCACACACGACGTGGGTGGCGCTGAACAGCCGGGGCAGAAGGCAAAGTGGGCGACATTTGCTTGAAACTGTGATGAAGATTAGTGTGCAAATGGCAGAGCCTTCTTGAAGAAGAAGAACAGTTGGGTTGATCTCTGTGTAAAGAGGGGGAGCCGAAGTGGCTGTGCAACAAAGAAAAAGGAAGAGGGCTTTGAGCAAAGATTCAACTAGATCTTGAAGTCCAAAGATCAATAAATCTGAAACAGTGAAGGGAATGAAATTAGTTGAGTAAAAATCAAAACCCATTTATATATATGTATATATAAAGAGCTCACTCACAGATCTGAAGCAGTGTAGAAGAAATAAAAGAAATGGGCAGAGTAAGCACTGTGGAAGGAAGAATTAAACCAAAGCTCATCAAAATGAAGAGCTGGCTTGGGTCCAAGAACAACTAGGACGGGTTGGCAGCAGCGTGAGCACTAGTATTCCGAGAGCCAAATCAGTCCGAGAAATTTCTGGCTAGACCGACTAACGACGCGTTGAGAGGGCGGCGTGGTCGGCGTCAACAGTGACCTCACGAAGGCCGACGACAATGGCTTGTGTGGCCTTTGGTCCAGCAACTACGGAGCTCCAATTGAAGAAGAGGACATCTGGGTTTGTCTTGGAGAGAGAGAGTCAGCCGCATGGATTTCAAAAAAAAAAAGAAAAAGAAAAGAAAGCTGGTGGTGTCGGCAGCAAGAGAGCGCCGCTGTGCAACAAAGAAGAAAAGAGAAGGTGTGCAGAATAGGGTTTTCAAGCCTTTCTTTAAATAGAATAATAGGGGAGCATTATCCTTGAATATACTGATTAGAGTATTCTAAATATAAGAAAAGAGAAGGTGTGCAGAATAGGGTTTTCGAGCCTTTCTTTAAATAGAAAAATAGGGGAGCATTATCCTTGAATATACTGTTAGAGTATTCTAAATATATGTATACCGTGTTTGCCAAACAACGAAGAAAAAAAAACGTCCGTGAGTCTTGTGCAAGCAAAAAAAAAAAAAAAATGCTCTATAATTCTTTTGGTTAGAATAAAAATTTATATATATACTTTTCTCAGATGTTCTAAAAAAAAAAGTAGAGAAATTTTTCTGGATATATACAAAGTAGAGGAGAAAATTTTCCCCTCTGTATTTATCTTCTTGATATATACAAAGTTGCCCATGATGTTAAAGTAGAGAAATTTGCCTCCATCTTGGGCATCCCAATCACATAAATTGGAATTTCTCTGGATTGGTTTTTGCGACTATACCTTCTAAAATGAAAACTTTTATTTGTCCATGTTGTGTAGGATCCTGCGGTTGTTGACGTTCTCAGTACCGTGGCTCCTGGCCGTGCTGCCTCCCCCAGGCCGGACTCAGACTTGGACGACACCCTCCCTTTGTCTGCAAGACTTGTGAAGATGCGCACCTCTCGTATAGCAGTTATAGATGATGACGATGATGAGGCTGAGTCCTCCGACCATTTTTGTGACCTTATTCCACGCATGCGTCGTCACCGCCCTACCGTAGCTGAGGAGGGGCGCTATCTTGGTGACGAGGTTATTGGGGCTCACCGTTCTGATGTTGAGATTACTGGAGGGACTGATGCCACAGAAATTGATGCCGTAGGCCATGCTTCTAGAAGCAATGTAGAGACGAGGTGCGCCTCTGGGAATGGTGTGGAGGTGGATGTGCTAGAAATCTCTGAGACTCGCTCTGGCACTTATGGTGATTCTCATCCAAAAGAAGTTCTCTCTTTTTCACAGGTGTTTCCATGCTTCGAGGCCATTGTGCATCATATTTCAGAGCTTACATGTATGCCATATTCCCATGTTTTCCACTCTTTAAATGCGTTTGAGAGTAGTGCTTGTATGCCTCGTTTATGGACCATTGCATGAGCTTAATTTCCATGCATTTTGAACCATCATTTTAGGTAATTTTCATGGGAGAGCCTTGCCATTATTCTATTCTCTAGCCATTTTGCCTTCTTCTTCACCCAATCTCTTATCTCCATCATCTCCTATGTTGTTGTGTTCCTAAGTTGAGATTATTGAAGAATCTAAGCCTCTCATCATATTCTAGAGAATTCGAAGTTGTTCTTCAAGGATCTTCGAAGATCTTCGAATTTTCCAACTCTTTTCTTGAACCCTCTCCTACACCAACAAAATACAAAACTTCACAACATGATTTGAAAGGAAAGGAAAAGAAACCTGAAATGTTGAAGCAAAGTTGAAGGCAGAGCTCACCAGAAAGCTGAAGAGTTGAAGTCGCCAGTGGCTTAGTTCAACCTTTTCTATTTCGTCGATGTATTCCCATGATTTTTGCTGGGTCTTCTGTCATTCCGATGCATCTTCTGGTGCATATGTTCAGAAGCTTGATGAACTTCTCTTCCGACGATGAATTTGTGGTGTTCCTCTGTTTTTTCTTTTTTTTCCTTCCTCTGGGCTGATTCATCTTCCTTGAAAATACTTTATCGTTTGAATGAAAAATGGATGAAAACGTGTATTGGAACTTGTAGAGAGAGAGAGAGAGAGACAGCTGGCAGGCAGGCACCACTTTTTTCCTATTATAATACATGTTATATATTAATATTTGAATAATGTTATATGCATGTTATATATTAATATTAATATAATCAATTGATATACGTGTATTAACAAATTAATGTGATATAATTTTAAAAATTTTAAAATATTTATAATTTGTATAATGAATAAAATTAGTAATAATATTATAATATATACTGATACACTAATTAGTATGTCAATTAATATATGTAACACCACCGTTAGCATTTTATGAAGTTGTTTGGGTGCATAAAAAAGTGTAATTTTTTATTTTTTTATGTTATATTATTTTTTTATTTTTTGTATATTTTTTTTAAAAGTTAAAAAATATATTTATTTAGATTATTTTAAATAATCTCTAAATACTACATATTTTTTTAATAGAGTTATAGTAATTTTATAATTTAAAACTAATGAGTTTGTTTGGTTTCCATTTTGTGAAAATTGAGATTTTTAATTTTCATATTTTTTTTAGTGAATATTTTAAGTATTTTTTTTACTTTTTAGATGCACCTTACTTAAATATATTCAAAAAGTAAAATATTTGTAAAAAAATATTTTAACAAATTAATAAATACATAAAAATATAAAAAATATACTGAATTTTCATTTTTTTAAATATATTTTTGGTATTTAGTGAATTTTTTAATGATTTTTTTCACAAAAAATTATACAATGTTAGGTGTATCTAAAATTTTTTAAAAAAAAATTGCATAAAATGTTAAAAAAAAATAGTAAGAACAAAAAAAAATACGCAAAACAATAAAGAAGAATTTTCAAAAAAGTAAATTCTAAAAATTAAAATCAAACAGAGTGATTTACCTTGTTTAGTTCTAATTTTTTTAATTGAATTTTTATTTTTAGTGAATTTTTTTAATATTTTCAACAAATTTTTTATTCTTTAGATGTACCTTAATTTTTTTAAAATTAAATTCAGAAAAATGGAACCGTATGAAACCAAATAAGATTATTTTTTTTATAATGTGACATGTTTTATATTTAAATATTTTTAACCATAGTATGTGTAACATCACTATAAAAATCCGTAATATTGTAATAAAAATATATTTAATATGTTTTATAAAAAAACGATTCATCCATTAATTTTTTCCCCTCCAAATCGCCTTAAATGATGTGCCAACTGTATGGTCCAATAGCATTTGATATACTTGAAGAGACATTATCTTTATATTTTTTGAACCATAATTATAAATTTAAAAAAAAAAATCATAACTAAATACCATATGAAATATAACCAAATATCTCGTGAGTCATACTTATAATACTATCATAATTATAAAAAAAAAAAAAAAATTAATCATACCTAAAACACAAATTAACATAACTAAGATGAGGTGATCTAAATTTTCATTAAAAAAATTTCAATTTTTATTTACTCAATGAGGTGATCTAAATTTTTAAATAATAAACAAAACAATAAATCAATCAACATAAAATTCTTTTCATCAAATTTTATGAAAGAAATCATCTAATATTATTCATCTTTTTAAAATTTCATCAAATTTAAATTTTGAACATTTTTGCATCAAATTTTAATTTAATGAAAGAAAATATGAATGATCAGATACTCTTACAAGATAAACATTTAGGAGTGTTTAAGTCTCATTCAAATCGCCGACATGAGTTTGAATTAGCCCAAAAATTGGACCTTACAATACCATGCAAAACTAAAAGAAGCTTGTCTAAAATGTAAATACTAACACCGTCACCACTTGCTCTACTACCCTAACCAACAACACTATTGTTATCACTACCACTAGTTCCACTATACTATTAACATCACCATCACTAGCTTAGTTATCCTAAAATCATCACCAATTTCACTGTCCTACCCTACCACTACCACCACCACCACTAGTTCCAACCACCTCTCCCATTCTACCTTTACTACCACCACAACCACCTATACCACTATCATCACCAGATCCACCACCCCTTAACTTCCATCACTATACTACCAACACTATTACTATCATCTGCACCACCACCACCACTTCCAACCACCTCTCCCATTCTACCTTTACTACCATCACAACCACCTATACCACTACCATCACCAGATCCACCACCCCCTAACTTCCATCACTATACTACCAACACTATTACTACCATCTGCACCACCACCACCAATTCCAACCACCTCTCCCATTCTACCTTTACTACCATCACAACCACCTATACCACTACCATCACCAGATCTACCACCCCCTAACTTCCATCACTATACTACCAACACTATTACTACCATCTGCACCACCACCACCAGTTACCTTTACTACCACCACAGCCACCTATACCACTACCATCACTAGATCTACCACCCCCTAACTTCCATCACTATACTACCAACACTATCATTGCCACCTATTGAGCGTATGCAAACTTAACCAACATTATCGATTCAATAAAAAATTTCATGTAAATCCGAATATTTCCAAATTGATTACATCTTAAATTTTAATTTTTATTTATTTTCAATTCAAAAATCAAACCAAATTAGTTGTTTTAATATTATTGATAAAAAATATTTTAATAGTCACATATATTTTAATAGTCACATATCAAACCAAATTAGTTGTTTTAATCTTTTGATTACGTATATATTTTAATAGTCACATATCTTTTGTTTTAGATACATCTAATCCAAATAAACATAAATAGTGCATAATTTGTTTAACTGGATTAAATGAAAATCTGTAACAAATTATTTTAAAAATAACAAATTATTTAAAAAACAAAAAATACAATTTTAAAAAAGCTATAATCAAACCAGATACTAACTTTATTGCCAACAAGATACTAACACTTTTTTTTTTTGGTTGAACTGGAACAAATTGCCAGTTCTTTGCTACTGTACGTCACTTATAAAAATTTCATTTATTTGTTGTCATCTACGTACAGTCACCAACAATAACATTGAAATATACTAATTAATATATTAATTAATGTATCAATTTATAATATTATTATTTTAAAATTATTATCACATATATTATATAAATTATAAAAATTTAAAATTTTTAAAATTATATCCACATTATCTATTAATACACTAATTAATGTATCAATTAATACAGATAATATTATTCAAATAAAATACAATAATTGTATCTACCCCTTTTGTTCCATCAATTGCTTTCCTTCCTTGGGAAGCTTTACTTGCCAGCCACAAACTTCTAATCACTTTGATAAACAACTCCCAAGAGTACAAACAAACCAACTCCCAAGAGTACAAAGAATACAAACAACTCTCACCTTTTCACCTTCCACTCAGTATATGTTTTTTTTTGCATATAACAGTTTAGCCCCCCAAAAAACAGAGGCTTCGGCTGTATGTATCTTTAGCCCCAAAAAATCTTTCAAAACTTCCTTCCATTATTAATTTCATCTACAGGGGAAATGTCTTCCTCCCAATCTTCAGCCAAGCAAAAGCAAACCTTGCGTCCAGCAGCATGTCAAGGAGCAGAGTTTGATGACAAGCCATTGTGGAATCATGTGAAGGTTCTCAATGTGGGTTCAGGTGGAGGTGGAAATAGAACCTGGTCCTGTAATTACTGCAGCAAAAAAGTAACTGGGTCATATACAAAGGTGAAAGCTCATCTGTTGAAGCTTTCAAATCATGGAGTTGAACCTTGCAAATCCATAAGAGATGATGTTGTTGAAGCTATAAGGAAGGAGCATGATGATGCTGAAGTGAGAAAAGCTCAACAAGCATTAAATGCAAGAAAAAAAGCAGAATATGTTACTTTACCAGAAGGCTCAGACTTGCTGCAACAGAAAAAACGCAAGGGAATGGCTCCACCAGGTGCTTTGCAAAAGTCATTTAATGTTGCTCAAAGAGATATTGCTGACAAAGATTGCGCTCGAATGTTCTATGCAAGTGGCTTACCTTTCAATCTGGCAAGGTCACCTTACTTTCGGAAGTATTCTCAGTCTTTAGCAAATAGCAGCTTGATGGGCTACACTCCTCCTTCATACGATAGGCTACGTACCACATTATTATCCCAAGAAAAAGCGCATGTTAATAGGCTACTGCAACCAATTAGAGATTCATGGCACAAGAAAGGGGTTTCATTACTTTCTGATGGGTGGTCAGATAGGCAACGACGCCCTCTTATCAATGTCATGGCATCATCTGCAGGAGGATCAATGTTTGTCAAAGCTATTGATTCAAGTGGAATTGTAAAAGATGGAGAATATGTTGCAAGTTTGTTCATTAAAGCCATCAAAGAGGTCGGGGAAGCAAATGTTGTGCAGATTGTAACTGATAATGCATCAAATTACAAAGCTGCTGGGTTGAGTATTGAAAACACGTATCCACATATTTTCTGGACTCCATGTGTGGTGCATAGTTTGAATTTGGCATTGAAGAGCATATGTACCCCACCAGATAAATCAGCTCAATATGATCAATGTAAGTGGATTTCAGATTTAGTTTCTCAGGTGCAGAATATTCGTAATTTTATTCTCAACCATAGCATGGCATTGTCTATTTTCAATGAATATTCTACTTTGAGATTGTTGAGTGTAGCAGAAACCAGGTTTGCATCCAACATCATCATGGATGTACGTTTGAGGGAAGTTAAGACATCCCTTGAGAAAATGGTGATGGATGCAAACTGGAAAATTTATAGGAAAGATGGCAATAGTGTGGCTGAGATTAAAGCTCGTGAGGTAAAACAATGCATTGTAAATGACTCATGGTGGGATAGCATAGATTACCTTATAAGCTTTACTAAACCTATCATTGACATGTTAAGGGAAGCTGACACAGACTCTCCTGTTTTACATCTGGTATATGACATGTGGGATACCATGATTGAAAGTGTGAAAAAAATCATCTTTGACCATGAAGGGATAGACTTAATTGTTGGCCAATCAACCTTCTTTAATGTCATTCACCAAATTTTGGAGAGTAGATGGAACAAAAGTAATACCCCTTTACATTGTATGGCCCATTCATTGGTTCCAAAATACTACTGTCATGCTTGGCTCCAAGATGGTGGTAATGAAATTCCAAGAATATCACCACATGAGGATCATGAAGTCTCCATGAATAGAAGTAAATGTTTGAAGAGGTTGTTTCCTAATCAAACTGATTTACGAAAAGTTTATGCTGAATATGGAGCATTTTCTAGTGGGTCGGATTATTTTAACCAACCTCATGTCATTGATGCAAGAATATTTGAGGAACCTCTTTCATGGTGGGCCAATCATGGTGCGGAAGCACCATTACTACAAGCATTGGCTTTTAAATTGCTTGTGCAGCCAGCATCTTCCTCTTGTTGCGAGAGAAATTGGAGCACATATTCTCTAATTCAAAGTGTTAAGAGAAACCGACTAGCAACAAGCAGAGCTGAAGACTTGGTGTTTGTGCATTGCAATCTTCGCTTATTGTCAAGGAAGAGCAAGGAGTATAAAGAAGGACCCACAAAATATTGGGACATATGTAAGTTAACTCACTTTCAATTCAATAAATAGTAATGCAAGTATTATTTATGATTGGCCAAAAATAATTTTTCTATGTTTTTTTTTCCTTTATAGGTGGAGATTTGTTTGATATAGAAGGGCATGACATAATGGAGTTGGCACAAATTTCCCTTGATGATCCAGAGATGCAAACCATGACTTTTGATGATGACAATGAAAGTCAGCAAGTTGTTGTTGAAGATTAAACCAATTGAAGAAGAGTGACAGTCAGCTAGTTTTTTTTTGTTTTTTTTATTTTGATAAATAGTCAACTAGTTTCTTTGTAGTCATCTATTCTTGGTTTAGGAGTAGAAGACTTCAAAGAAATTGTGTTTTTTCATTTCAAGAACTATGCATGACCTTTAAGGATATTATGTTTTTTGGATAATTTATTTTGGTATATGTTTTTTGGATAATTTATTTTTGTGGCATGTAATGAAGTTACATTTACTAGATGTTTTATGAATTATCTATTTGGTTGGCACATAATTTTAGAGTTGATTTATTTTACAATTTAAATGCATTTATACTAATTTTTGTTTAGCCGTATCCACGTACTCGTATCTAATTTTTGGGTACTTTTCAAACGTACCCGCGTATCCCTCATTTAGAGATTTGACGAGTCTGACTCTTAGATACATACCCGCACTCGACACCCATACCTGAGTCCGTGTAACGTAGGTCTCCATTATATATAACCAAACCATCTCAATCTATTCTCTTTCAACTTATCATCTATCAGTAATACTCCTACCCATTCACGAACATACTTATTCCTAGTTCTGTCTTTTCTAGTTTTGCCACACATCCACTTAGCATTCTCATCTCAGCAACACATTTTATCTACATATTGTTTCTTAGTTGCCCAATATTCCGTCCCATACAACATCGCGGATATAATAGTCATTCTATTGAACTTTCCTTTTAGTCTAGTGGGTACTCATTTATCACACAGTACCCCAAACGCACTCTTCCACTTAAGCCACCCCGCCTTGATTCTATGAATCACATCTGCTCCAATCTGCCCAGCCGTTGTGATAATCGATCCTAAATAACGAAAATGTTCACTCTTAGGTAATTTTTTGTTCTCAATCTTCACTTCTACTATGCTTCCATTGTTACTGCTACTAAAATTATACTCCATGTATTCTGTCTTAGTTCTGTTTATCCTAAATCTAGCTTACTAATATGTGAAAGAAAATAAACTAGTTTAGTTCTAGTCTATTCTGCTTCCACCCATCCTCTCCTTCATTCACCCACACCACCAACCGCCCACCTTCCACTATCTCTACCACACCCATACCATCACCATCACCATCACCAACGACATCTCTACTATACCACCACCACCAACTCCACCAATTTTTGCCACACCCACACCACAACCAATTGCCTCCACCAAACCCAAACCGCCTCTCTCCAATTGCCTCCAATGTATCCTAGATATCCTCTTTCAATCTAAGATTCTCATATCTTGACATCAACAACTTCAATCCTGACAAACTAGCTACAAAAGGTCATGCACCAAAGGATCAAAAGGTTCATACTCAAGATCTTTATATCTATGTATTAATTACTTCTCTTAAAATAGATCTATCTACATACATTTGTGTTTGTGTGATTTGGCTGTAATTCGTTGTGAGGCTATATTGATTCCCATCTCGATGTTACCAATGAACACTAATGGGAAGGAGAGACTAGGAAAAGGAATCCATGGGGAGACATTGGAAAAGGGGAGGCAGAGGGTGGGAAGAGGCTCCATTTCTGGCGACTCAGTGGACATAGAGTGGTTATGGTGGGGGTGAAAGGAGTTGGAGGCTATAGAGAAAAAGAGTGGGAGCGGTAGTGGTAGGGATGATGTGAAAAGCACAATGGGGAGGCATTAGGATGAGGTGTGACGGAAAAAAGAGAGAGGCTAGGGGTGGGCGGTAAGGGAGATTGGAAAGGGGAAGGAAAAACATTATGGAAAATTATTTGTAAATGTGGGTATGAACAAAAGTTTGGGAAGTGATTTTAATAATTAAAAAAAGAGTGTACTTATCAAAAAAAAATAATAATAATAATAATTGAAAAAAGAGTGTAAATTGACAAATTCATAGGATGATAGGTAAAAAGACTAACTTATCCTTTCTCCATTGGTTATAATAAACAAACTTGCACAGATGGGGTGAATTGAGTTGCATGTAAAATGTAGGGTTTAAATTGTTAAAATTAAAAATTTAGGGTTCACTCTACCTGTTCGAATGGAAACCTTGCCGAATTGTATCATATCATATGATATGAGTCCAGCATCAGACGATTCCAACTGACGATGCATCCAAAATTTTTTTTTGTATATTTTAGAATTTTATAGCATACTTTAGACCATTCATAGATTCCCATAAGCCTATATGTAGCAAACATCAAATAGCAATATCAAAAGGGAAAGAAAAAAAAAAATTAATTGACAAGCATGCATGTAACAAAACATCAAATAGCAACATCATGCTTCTCTAGCTAGTTCAAAGTCAATAGAACATAACTATATAACAAGAATATTACTTCTGGAAGATCACCTGAATCCCAGACAGGTACTGGTCCACCAATTCTTTGTAATGCTGATAAAATTTGTAGTCTTCCAAGTGCATCAACATGCCATAATGTTTCCAACGAGAAGAGAGAAGCAAAACTCCAGTCTTGTGCATTTGTGAACCTGCCTTTCTGTTGGAAATGGTAGAAAAATTCTGGGTAAAACCAGAATTTTTTCTCAAGTTTGGTCTATTTTTTAGGTGGGCCCCGAGTGTCAATTTACTCGGGTCAAAGTGGTAACGCGTTCTATGCCGCATTATGATTCACGTAGTATATTTGGTTGCTCAAAATCATTACCGAGTGAATGGGAAATTGAAGCCAAAGTGTGCTCCATGGAAATGGAGTTTTGGTGGAAATTCCTTAAGGTTGTAAATTGGCTTGTCCCACATTGATTTGGTGGAAAGTTTTGAAAGGGTTTATAAGGCTTGGGTTAGATACTTGGGGTGTGCCCCAAGGGGTACCCAAGTGTTTTAGAGGGAGAGGTTATGGGCAAAATGGGCTAGACCCATTGGACTCAAAAATCACCACACGCGCGCCACCACCGTCCGGTCGGGCAGGCTGAGCTGGGCCTGGGCGCGGGTGCGTGGTGTGTGGTTGGGTTAGGCTTCTAATCTTTTTGGGCCAAAAACATTTGAATTTAATTTTATTTTTTGGTAAAATAAAATCCAGAATTCAAATTAAATTATTTGGATTTTCTGTACATCCAAACAGGGCCCTTCCCGTTTTCAAACAGAAATTTTTTATTAAAATAAAATCCAGAATTCAAATTAAATTGGTTTGGATTTTTTGTACATCCAAACAGGGCCCTTCCCGTTTTCAAACAGAAATAAACTGTTTTGGAATTAAGGTACACCCAAACAGGGCCCTTCCCGTTTTACTATCTGTTTGAATTCAAAACCCAACAGGTATGATACCTGTTCAATTCAAAACAAAGAGTCACCTTCACATCTATAAATAGGACCACCCTCATTTGGATTTTGTAACTCTAATTTTCGTTCTTCATAATTCTGCAAACTTCCTCTTCATTTTGCTGCATTATTTTCTTGTTCAGAGAGAGTATAAACACTTAGTGTGTTCGTATGGCAAACAATTTGTAGTGCTGCTATTGTTTGTAGTAGATCATTTTATCCTGGGAGATAGACGTCCAAATTTTGAAAGCACCGTGGAGAGGACGAATCTGTCTTAAGGACACAGTGTCAAACACTGGACTTGATCAGAAAATAATTCGAAGAGATTAAATCAAGTAAGTTATTTAATTTATTTTCAGTGTTGTTTTTATTTTTTAAATCAGATTTAAATTTTGTTTTTGTAACAAAATAAAATCTGTTATTTATTTATTTATTATTTCGAGTTTGATTTTTATAATCAAACAAATTCTCTCCTTTTTCTTTATTTCTTTAAATTCTATTTGTTGTTGTGTACACAATAGAATTAAATCTTTTAAATACAGTGAAGATTGTCCAACACTTTCATTTAAAAAACAAGCATATCATCTTGGAGAGATAATTAACAAAAACTACAGACTATGAAATACTTTGGTATGTGATGAGAATAACACCAGCCTCAGTTTGAATGTGCACATAATGCCCTTTTGTGCCTTGCAACCACTTAAGCACTTTCTCCAACCCGTATGCATGTAAAGAACGGCTTTTTCTGCTCCACTGCATAACATGAATTACTAAAAATGTTATTCATGTGTTAAGCTTTCAGTAGCTCAAACAGGAAATCAAATTACATTCCGCAGAAAGTTGCATTTATTCAGGAAGCAATTCAAACCCAACATACATTTATACTGTGTGAATTCTTTCAATTCTTATAGTAAGAGCCATCTGGATTCTGAAATCAGAAAACTCATAGCTCCAAGCATCCATAAATAACTACTGATATAAATCTAAAGCAAGTGAAGATAACACACAAAAAAGATCACAAAACTAGAGATAGTACAAGGTTTTTCCAAGAAGAGATTGCACACCCTTTTCAAACACATAATGAAGAACCCTAGTCAGTAATAATATTCAGCAAACATACAGAACTTGTAATCATTTTTATTTTTATTTATTTTTTTAAATCCAACTTATCTCAAATTTTCACCAAAAGGCTGGGAAAATTCAAGACAATGAAAACCCTTGGTTCCATTGAAAAAATGATGAAGAGGTGAAATAACGGTATTTCTGTAAATAACAGGGAACAAAATTAGCTTATTTTCCATCATACTGAGAGTGATGAACTGGGGTCTTGTCTAATTCAAAGGAACAGATAGCCTTTGGATTATGTCCAAAATGATCCAAGCCTAGTCAAAAATCAGTGGCAAGAGAAGACTAGAATGAGTTGAATCAAACAGGAGCACAGCAAGCTTTTGATTTCCACGTAGCATACTAGAATCCAATATTCCTAGATTATGGCTCCTAGACTTCTTTTCACTTAATTTCTTGAACAGAAGTAGGTTGTCATAATTTACAACTGTAACTTAAACAACTTCATTATCTTATATCTACCTTCAGTTAAGCATTCAAATTGAACGAGTTCTTCGTCATTAAGGGGTTCATCTCCCATAAATTTACTTTTACCATTTATTTTATAATGGAATTAGTGAGGAAAATGCATATCCACCCTTGAATAGTATTTGAAGTGTCAACAAAAAGGTCAAAAGCAGGGGCAATAAAGCATAAAGATATGTGCATCTTTATAGCCAATACAATCTTTGTGTTGAGAATAGTTGCCCCTCTCTCTAATAGCTTAAGCTTTTAGATGAGTCAGTGGTTAACAATCTAATATAGTATCAGAGGAGGCAATAGAACCTGAGTTCAAATGTCACCGTCTACCCAATTCTTTGAAGGAAAGAAAACAAAAACAAAAAAACTTGTGTGTGCTTGCCCCACTTATGAAGAAGAGTTTGGCCACACATGAGCGGTGTGTTAAGAATATAATATAAATAATAAAGTTGGCCCTCCCTATAATAGCTTAAGCTTTTAGATGAGTCGGTGGTCAACAAGCTAATACTTTGAACTGCCAATCAAAAAATATAATCTTTGAATATGTACGCTCATTCCTTTTTAGTTTTCATTAATCAAAATCTGTTAGGAGTGATGAAAGAAATGATTATTAAAAAATAAAGGGTATTACGTTATGCTGATAAAGGCTATTATGAAATGCTGGTCCTGTTAATGCACAGTGCTGGGAGGGGAACATGGGGAACAAACCTAACTGGTGTAAAAACCTAACAGTGAAAGGAAGGAGACTGCTGAAAAATTCCTTGTAATTCGATTCAATTTCAAATCTGACCTGATCAATGTCATTACATCAAGCCCCATAGAAATACTTTTTGCAAAACACCAATCCAAATTAAATTAGGACAACAGAATGAAATAGACTTCAAAAGAAACTAAATTTCCTAAACTGATAAAACTAGAACTTCAAACTCCATCACAAAACTATGCAATATTTACACAATGTGGCAGCTCCCAAACTTGAACAAGCATTCACATACTTGGCAATATGAAACAATCAAATGCAATGGCAAGATTTTGGTTTTGTTTCCTTTTCATTCTAATGTGAAGTAAATTTTTTATTTAAATTCTTACATTACCTACACATATATACACCTTCAATTCCACCCAGACAGTTAAATTATTGAATGTGCTGAAAGAAAGCTATCTCACAGTTCCTTCCCTTCTCTTCTCAATTTTATCCTCAGTTATTCTATTTTTATGCCAGCAAATGAAAAGAACCTCAAATCAACTTCTACAAATTTTAAAGTAAATGGGACCTAATGATAACAAATTCGAAAGAGATCTCAAAATATATATATTTATATATATAGTAGATAAGTTAGGAAGATACAGCATCGAGTCTCTGCACAAGAATAATAAGTTCATCTAAATGATCCCAAAGCAACAACTTCATCTCCATGTTGTTTAACACATCAGGAGATCTACTAGTTGGTTTCACTTTCTTCTCAACGAAAGCAGCAGGTGCCGAAGTAATTGGCAGGAATGATAAATTTGGATTAGATGGTTTCAGCCTATCATCTGATCCGTCAGACACTAGATCCTTTTTTGTCAATGCCTCAGTGAGAGCTAAAATGCAATCAGCAGCAGCCACTGAAAGGCGAGTTGGCAACTCAAATCACCCCTGCAAAGTGCTACAACTAAAAATATCAAACATTAGGAAAACAAATATAAGCATAGGACAAAGTTGTCAAAAGGATTTCTGAGTCAACACATGCATGCAACGATGACAGAACTAATGCAACGACTGAACTACTAATATTCTAACAAGAGATTCAACGTAATCAAAAAAAAAAAAAAAATTTAAGGCACACAATACATGATGTTTCTCAGATTGCTTCAGAGAATTGAATTGGTCTGATAGCATAATGATAACATCTTGGAGTTGACTTTCATCTCAAACAATTCATAGTAGTTTCTATTCTTTTACTAGGACAAATCATTACATCATCACTGCTAAGACAAAGATGAGGGTCTTGCTCTCAACCAAGAATCATTATTAGAACCCTAAGCCTTACCATAACTTTTAGAGCAAGTTGGCAAACAAATTTTCCCACCTAGCATATAAATTTCTATGACATTACACAGCAAGACAGTAACAGAACCAGTGAATTCAACAAGCCACTTTTGTATTACATTTTTTGCAAGTGTTTTATCACCAAAAAGAATAGATATTTCAGTAAAGCTCATTACACATATCCCTGGGTACCCGCAGCCCAAAGGGCACACATCTCTCAATAAGAGAATATCAAACCAAGCCTACCTTAAAAATATTCATCACAGTTTGATAGACTAGGCAAGTAGTTCTAGTGCAGAACTATGTTTTATTAATGAGAATAATGGGTTCCACTTCAACTTCAAACCATAAACCAAACCAAGTTTTAAGTCTCATCAAATGGGGTTAGCTACATGAATCATTCTTCTCCACTCGACTCTATCAACGGCCATTTGGTTAGTCAAATTCAGAAGATTCATATCTCTATTTATGACATAGCCCACGTCAATCTAGGTCTACCTCCTAACACTTTCATCTATCGTCACTGTATCGCATTTTTTCACTATTGTCTTTGTTGGTTTCCATTGTATATGACCAAACCATCTCAATCTATTCTCTCTCAACTTATCTTCTATCAGTACTACTCCTACCCATTCACGAATATACTCATTCCTAACTCTGCCTTTTCTAGGCTTGCCACACATCCACCGTAACATCCTCATCTCAACAACACTCATCTTATCTACATGTTTCTTAGTTGCCCAACATTCCGTTTCATACAACATCGCTGGTCTAATAATCATTCTATAGAACTTTTTTTTTTAGTCTAGTGGGTACTTTTATCACATAATACCCCAAGCGCACTCCTCCACTTAAGCCATCCCGTCTTAATTTTATAGACCATATCCGCTCCAATCTCCCCAGCTTTTGTGATAATCAATCCTAAATAACGAAAATGCTCACTCTTAGGTAGTTCTTGGTTCTCAATCTTCACTTCTCCTCTACTTCCATTGATACTATTACTAAAATTACACTTCATATACTCTATCTTAGTTATGCTTATCCTAAATTCTTTAGATTCAAGTGTTTCTCTCCAAGTCTCCAACTTAGTATTAACTCCTTCTCTAGTCTCTTCCACTAACACGATATCATTTGTAAAAAACATACACCATGGCACATCAACTTGAATATTTCTCGTCAACTAATCCATAACTAAAACAAAAAGATAAGGACTTAACGTTGATTCTTGGTGTAACCTCATAGTAATTGAAAATTCACTTGTCTCTCCAGCATGCAATCTAATAGTTGTCACCACACCGTCATACATGTCCTTAATCACATCAATGTAATATTTTGTCACCCCTTTGCTCTCTAGCACCCAATAGATTATATCTCGAAGTACTCTATCATATGCTTTCTCAAGATTGTTGACCTACCACACATAAATCCAAATTGTTTCTCACCACTATTATATCTCACAATCGACTATGCATCAGCTTGATTCCTCTATGGTTGCAATTCTGGAAATCTCCTTTATTCCTATAAATTGGTACTAAAATACTCTTCCTCCACTCTGGCATTTTCCTAGTCAACAAAATCTTACTAAATAACCTAGTCAACCAAGCAACCCCCTTCTTACCCAAACATTTCGAGATATCATCAGGTCCTAAAGTCTTATTTGATTTCATCTTCTTAAGCGCAATCTCCACTTCAAATTTCTTAATCTTGCGATAGAACCTGTAGTCTTGGTTTTCCTTATTACTAGCTACTTCCTCCCCTTTCGACCTTCCTCCATGTTCCTCATTTAACAACTTCTCAAAATAGTTTTTCCACCTCTTCTTAATCTCTTCATCCTTCACCCACATTTTAAAGTCCTTACTCTTGATACAATTAACTTAATTAACATATCTTGTTTTCCTCCCTCTTATCTTAGCAAGTTTGTATATTCTTTTCTCTCCCTCCTCACTACCTAGTCTAATGTATAGGCTTTCAACTTAGCCTTTCACTACTTTTTTGACCTCCTTATTAGCCAATCTGTAACTCTTATGATTTTCCTCAATTCTATCATTCTGCCACTTTTTAAAGCACTCTTTTTTCGCCTTTACTACCTCTTGAACCTCCTTCCTTCACCACCAAGTTCCCTTAGAGTTGGGTCACTTTCCTTTCGACTCTCCAAGGACTTCCCTTGAGATTCTTCTCATACAATTAGCCATCGAGTTTCACATAGTGTTAGCCTCATCTTTTAAGTCTCAAGTACCTTCTTTATTCATTCTATTCTTAAATATTTCCAGTTTATCCCCTTTTAGGTCCCACCTTCTTGTCCTACGATGCCCACTATCCTTCCTAGTTCGATATTGCCCTTTAAAGCATAAATCTAGTACCAAAATCCTATGTTAAGACGTCAAGCTCTCTCCCAGAATCATCTTACAATCGCTGCATTTTAGACGGTCCACTTTTCTTACTAAAAAGTAATATATTTGACTCCTAATTGACCCACTCTTAAAGGTTATCAAATGTTCTTCTCTCTACTTATACACAGTATTGGCCACCACCAGGTCAGAAGCCAACGCAAAATCTAAAATACTCTCTCCAGCCTCATTTCTATCACCAAAGCCATACCCACCATGCACTCTCTCATAACCTAGTTTATCTATTCCTACATGGCCGTTGAAATCTCCACCTATAACTAGGTTCTCTTCTACGGGTATCTCCTGTAATACCTTATCCATTTGGTTCCAAAAATCTCTCTTAGTCTGATCATCTAATCCTACTTGGGGGGCGTATGCACTAATAACGTTCAATATATCGAAGGTTTTTTGCATATCCCGAGATTTTGTAACTTCATATTGTTTAATTCTACTTTTCACTTCAAGTACTATAATTTTCTCTTTATTTATTTCTAGACAACTAAGACACACTAATGACTCAGCAGGAACTTAAACGTGGCTAGCCCTACGGGCGCCACATAATCACTATCACACCCCCACATGGCAAACCCCCAAGACACCATAACCCTTAGGGTTGCATGCCTAGCCTAAGAAAAGGCATACACGCAAACCAAGTACGGAGTTTACTAGTGTAGTTGCCGCCCAATCATAGGAGCTCCAAGACAAATGAGCCAAAATATGAAGAGCTCGACATGGCTCATGTAGTGGAGGTAAGCTTGCTCACTTGGCAGCACCATGACTCACTTGGAGCACTAGATAGCCATGGTCCTTTATGCCTCATTCTAACAGGGAACACTCTCTCTACTCATTCTCACTCAATGACAACATAGTTGGGCTCTTGACTAACCTATGTTCACTTGACTGTTAGGCTGGGCCCTTGGCTCACCTATGTACTCACTCATTCTACTTGACCACTTGGCTGCCTAGGTTGGAAGCAAGGCCTAGGCATCCCCACACAGGATAATTAGAGGATTGTGAAGTAAAGGATAAGATCATCGGTTCACCAAAGTCGCTTGGTTGTCTCTCCTAGGATGACAGCTCCACCTTGGCCAAACTTAGAGAGAGGGCGTTGACCTTACACTCACACTTGATATAATCCCCGAGATATCATTCCTATACCTCTGGAGTTCCTATTATGCAGCTTGCCCAAAGGCTTGAATCGTAGAACATAGCAGTAGGACTAATATCACTACTTGTCGAGTCGACAAGAGCTTGCCACATGTCCATAGCTTCCTTGAGCATCAACACTCCTACAGTATATATAACGGTATCATGAACACAACCACAACAAATCAACACTATCATCATAATCACAAACTAATAATAGCAAGATAAGAGCACTAACCTATCTTGTACACAAATAGTAAGTGTTCAAGGTCTCTCACTACCGCCCTCTCTATCTCTAAGGGTGCCTTGGTCTTCATATCCTTTAGATCCAGGGATATTGAGTCATTAAAGTGCTTGCCATTTTCATAAAGGCCCACAACTGAGCACCTCTAACACCTCTCACCCACAGTATGTATTTTCATTTTGTTTAGAAAAAGTTTTTTTTTCCCTTCCTCCACCCACCGCGCTCATTACCAACACCATCACCGATGACCTCCTCCAACCACCACCAACCACTACTAACCACCACCACCTTTCGCTAATACTCTTACGAGAAACCACTTTTGACCACCATATCTAGCGACCAACCGTCAGCAACCACCTTTGGCTACCGCTACTCACCTTCGATGGTAGGCAACAACCTCCGATAACCACCTTTGCACGGTAAAAAACCACATCCGACCACAATCCAGGATTGTCAACAAACACCTTCAATCACCACTTCCCACCAGTCACCCATTTCACTTGCTTTCCAAACAATTTTAAGACACGTGTACTACCTAACACGCTTTTGCTTGATATTTCTATAAATAACAAACAATAAATTGTACACTTTACCAGACAACACCTAAATGTATGAAAATTCTAAGTTTTGGATTTTTTATTTTTTGATAAGTCTAAGTCTAGGGATTTTAAACTAAGTCGAGAACAAAATTGATTCCAAAACCAAATCTAAAAGCCTAAGGTTGTGTTTGGTAGAGTTTTGTAAATATGATTTGAGAGTATGAGTTGTATTTTGAGTTTGTGAGTTTTGAAATTATGATTTGAATGTAGAAAATTTGTTTGGTGAAAGAGTTTTGAATTGAATGGGAAATTTTTGATGTGACATATGATATTTGATACAAAAACTTACAACTCATAACCAAACATACAACTCAAAATTCTATTAAAGCACATAAAAAAATTTAAAAAAATTAAGAATATATTTTATTCAAATATATAAAAATTAACATATGTCAAAAAAAAAAAATTCCCCTATTCCAGTCAACCGGCCGGATGACTGGTGGGACGTCCGGTTAGGCCAAATTTCAAAAAGAAAAAAAAAATTCAAAAATCGCGCTTTACAGAGTTTTCTGCAGAGTTTTGTGTTTGTTGTGGAAAACTAATTACAAAACTCTATCCAAACATGATGTTACAATGTGCGGGTAGAATTAGGATTTGAAAATCCTTCCAAACAGAGCCTAAATATTGAAAGAATATAGCAAAAGCACGACTCGTGTGCTTCCATGCTCAATCTAAAGCCATTATATTTCAAATGTATGGATGTTTGGCCCTTACATAGGATCTTCTAGGAAAGATGGTAGGCATTGAGACGGCAAGGACCATCGGAGGTGGAGTTGGTGAGAGCTAAGGCAGCTCTCTAGAAGAAGAGAGGGTGACGATAGTACAAACTAGAGATAGACCCTCTTAGCTTGTTGGGAGATAATTGATAACATGTTTGTGTTATTTTGCATGCATGAAGAAGGTCATGGGGGTCAGCTTAGCCAAAGCACAATGTACCATGTTGGCGGACAAGTGGATTATTAACCCCTGGATTTGACAAACCAAAGGCTTCCCAACTATTTACTATGCCCATGATCAAACCTCAGAGGTCATCTCATAGGACTACAGTACGTAGCTATGTTCATCCTCAAACGTTGTATCAACGCTCTGCAATTGTAGGATCCTTCGAGGTGTCACATCATCACATTTCTTTTCTCTCTCTCTCTCTATAGTCAATCAAGGTTCAACCAAGTGAGGGTGAGGCAGGCAACCTTACCAATCCCTAAACTCCCAAGTCTCAATTCCAAACCACAAGTCCTTGATGAAGGTTCATAGGCCCTACCCCTAGCCTAGATTTGATGTAGTAGTACTAAGGTTCCTTGAGTATAGATTGTTGATCAGCTCGGTGAAGGCCAATCAGTGTACACTGCTCAAAGGAAATCACACGATGGATACCGTTTGATGGATATTGCCTAGCATAACTCGGTCGGATCAACACCGAGCCAATTGCCATGGAGAGGCACAACCAGAGTAATTGCCTTGATCTTGGAAAGGTGGGACAAGGGATAAACTCAGTCAAAGAATTAACTAACCAAGATAGTAGAACCAAGTGTATCATATCATCAGTAAGCCAAGAGATGACCACTTAAGAATAGAGAATAAAACTACCAGCAAATTTCATCCAGAAACACAAACACCCACACTCTAACTTAATGTTCAACAACTAATTTAATAAGTTGTGTGATGTTTGTAAACCTAAGTTGCCAATCCCACCAAGATGTCAACAAAATGAGTTGTCTCACCAACTAATAAGTCGAGAAATATTTAAGTCAATTTTGTAAAAAAATTTCAATAAAGGATGGATGAACCCAGAACTCAAGAACAAAGATATCAACACATCAACAAGTTAACACAACATTCTCCCTAGCTCATACAACATTCTCCCTAGCTCATGCAACAAGAAAGTTTACATTGAGAGTTATCCAAATTGCTTGAGCAATGAACTCATTTACTTCCAATCCGAAATGAACATTTCTCATCAACGCTAAGACAAAGATCGTCATTCGTACTTCCTAAGCCAAAAAGCCTAAATCTACCGAAACTAGACGCATATCCAAGAGTTCCAGCACAATGGGTCCCATGATATGTGATGGATGTAGAACACTGGCATGTTTTTTAGACGACTAATTGGCTCATATGTATTTATTGAGGCACCCATTTGACATCACATTCATAAGACCACATGGCTTAGCAAGCTTTACAAAGTCCCTTCAACATCAGTCAATCCCCCAATCCTGACCCCTTCCATCAACATCTGTAACAGTCTTACACAAGCAAATGTAATTCCAGGCTTCTAGTCCACTTCCTGCCCTCATCCATCATGAAGAAACCATACCAAGAAAAATATCACCCAATTTTGAAACTTGATTTGCAGGTTCCTATTGAACAGGTCTAAAACATGTTCCATCATCAATCCTAACAAGAATTCACATGTTCCACCATCAATCGTCAATGAGAATTTCCACACCACCATAAAACACATCCTTCTTCCAAAGAAACGAAAACAATCCCATATCGCATACGCCAAGTGCCAAAATCATGGAATGGAAGGACTAATAGAAGCATTGATGTGGTACACTATACCCCTAGGTGTGTAGCATCTGCAAAGTCCGTAGCTTCATACATTTGAACACAAAAATATTTGTGTTCGTCTATCACAAGGATATCTTTCATATTGGCAAGTAAATATCAAAGAGTAAGTATACTCATCTTTTCGTAACAAAATTAAAATATTTCTAAAATTGTTGCTTGAGGTGTTCTTTTCTTATTAACTTGTATTCAGTGCGTACCAATAGGTAAGGATTTTACATATAATACAGTTGTCCTTGTCTTGTATGGGTCCTTACAGTGTCTAGAATGAGGTGATTGTTTTCTTATTATCTTATATTAAAGTAAAGTTTGGCATAACCTAAATAATACAAAAAGTCAAAAAGTCACTATCCTATTTAAGTCACATCATCTTATTTAAATCACATCACCTCTCTAACACATCACATCAAACCCAACCCAAACCCAACCCATATAAGCCAATAAGTGCACTTTTTTAGAACACCCCAAACCAACCCTAAATTAGTGTTTAACAACAAAGTAAGGATTTCAAGTCCAGACAGAGTTGTCCCCATTTTAGAATTATATCCTTGTAGCTCTTTATGCCCTCTTCATCTACAAATTGAGACTAGACCACTCCAGGTGGGAACCCAGTCATTAATTCCAAGATGCTTTATCCAAGCATGCTCACACTTCACCAGATAATATTAATGGCTCAAACTTAGAGATGACCAGATACTGCTAACCCAAAGGCCACCAACCCACCCCCAAAAAAACAAAAAATTAAAAATAAACACCAAAGCATTGAGGGAAGGCCAAAATGAGAAGCAAATTATCGTATAAATGGAAAAACAAACAATAGAAATCATAGTGTGTAGACTTTGAACTTCAATTAAAGGCAACCTATTAGGAATCCATGCAGCTTGAGCGTGGTAAAGAGAGAATGCAGTTATAATTATAAGGCAGTATCAAAACAACTGGTGAATCAGAGCAGGCAACAAATGCTGAAGCAATACACACAAACAAAAAAAAGCTTCCTTCAACTTGCAGCTAAATGCCTGGTTACCAAACGCCACTGCCACATTTTGATGTGAAAAGACATACCTTCCAATGCATACAATAGATATGAGATGACTGATACATGATGAAAAAAATTTCAGCAATGAACGATACTTGTCCTTTATTCCTGCATTCAGGGGGGGGGGGGGAAAAACAATCCATTACACTTCCGCAGAGAAGGGAGAATGCCAACTGTAAATATGATTCCATAACAAAAACTAAGAAGAAATGCAAACATATTTATATTTTCTTTTGAGAAATCCGGATCTATGTACTGACTAGAAGACGATGGATTTTTTCCCTTTTGCCATTCTTTCTACTGAAAGTACAAATGTCATTAGTTTGAAATGGCTTAAACACAATTATTAAGGGTAAATTTCAATTTTCAACTAGAGCTCTTCATGCTCCCCTTTCAGTAAAAAGAATGCCCAAAATATGGTTACTGTGGTTGGCAGGTTTCCAATGGTCAGCAGAAGGGTATTGCATTCTATTAATAAATAAATAAAAACTAGTTGAGCCCAATATCACATTTATGTTCTTTCTTTAGATAATAAATTTTTTAAAACAAGTAGAATGTGCAAAAACAAAATCCATTCACAGCATACAAACTCCAGAACAAAAACAATAAACCAACAGAGCCGAAGATAAACAATGAATAAAATTTCACATGGAGGTATTCCAAATGGTCCATTGCTTGCTGCATTTACACAAAGTTGGGCAGTCAAGCATGAAACATTCGAGTCCAAGGGAGCCACTTGTACTCATAAAACAAGAGATTATCTCTGAACCCCCTGACTCCCAGTTTACCTAGAGCTGTCATGGGTAAGGGATCACTAGGCAACCCAAGTATTTGGCCCACTACGCAGAAATGCTCTGTTTCAAAATTAACTTATTTGAATATTGAACAACAAGAAGGAAGATCAAACTTCTCAAAAAATGATAATTGAATATCTAAAGCATTTGGCGACTTATGTTTTCACAATGACAGAGACCTGACAATTTGTGAATCTCAGAATGATGGAAACCAATACACAGTGGTGACTGGCAACGTTCAAATACAAATTGGATTAGATTTGACAACGACACTAAACATATTGCTCACATATTACTCACCCCTTAGCGAATCCTTTCTATAACAAAGGCCTCTACATACAGGGGTTGAGTATAGGGAAAGCAGATGTCATTTCTGCTTCAGTGGCAAAATTCCAACTCGCAAGTGTTAAAAAAACAACTGAAATCCAGGTATCACAAATTTAGAATATCTCTGAAGGCTATACAGCGCATCCAAATACCAACTGGTGATAATACAATAATTGCAATTAACAATTAACAGATCGCAGAAGTAAGACACAAATTGTTGGCCAAATTAAAACCCAATTAAACAACCACATTATTCCTGCTTCATTTCAAACTCTGACCAGCCGGCTTGGTAAATCCAGGATGACATGGCCAAAAGATACTTGACAAAATTTACACAGCCTAATTAACCCAGATTTTGATGAAAGCATCTGTCAGGAATTTTTTTTAATTGTTAATTGGCTCATTCACTCCAAAGGATCCCTGGTTGTAGTCTAATAAAGCGACAATTTATGAAAAGATTGCTACAAAAAGTGGGTGGGAAATTTATGTGAGTGCAATTTGAAGCACCACACAATTAAGTATGCAACAAGCTCCACACAACTAGATAAATAGAAACAAACAAATCAGCCTAACCTAACTGTTAGAATATATAGTGATATATGTTATTTTTTGTGTTGAGTGAGGGTACT